CCCCCCCCCGCCACTACATTAATATACAGGCGGGGCGAGCGACGGCAACTAATACAATTTTGTGCAACCCACGTGACCGTCTTTTGCAGTCGTACAGAATTCGCATGCTGGCCGCTTTGAAGCTGTGCCCAACCACGTGGATTGATGTAGGTTTGAGTTCCGCCAAAGTGAAGCGTGTACACCTCATGTATACGTCGATTTATTTAGTTTCATTTGACAGATCATCAGCTGTTACGGTGTAATCCAATCGAGAGCTTACACGTCACTACTGCGACTATGTATGGTGACGTTCAACTTCTCGATTGGAAGAGTCCGTTACTTCTGATTTACGTCAACTGAATCTTATGTGTAAAATCCAAGAATAGTGACGTACTTGGCTTCTCATATTGCTATGTATCCTTGCTGCAGCAGTATATAGGTACGCTACAACGTGATACCTGCGCCGCACATGCGACGAAACCTCTGCGTGCGTGTACCAAACAGCAGAAGTAAGGTTCGATTTAAGGCTTTAAAGTAATGGAAACTACTCAAATTCATCGGTGAACGAAAACGTAGTGTAGTGATGACATCTTCCACTGCAACTACACACCGCGGCACGAAAAGTGCAAATGATGACAGTCACAGACGCCCTTTGGCCAGGCGACGGAGGAGGTCAACCAAATGGTGCGAGGCGGCGGTGATCTTCTCTCGCTGGATGGCGAGATCCGGTGCCGACCTATCGTCGACCAGCGGAGTTTCCCAAGCAGGTACCTCCCACTAGCGTGACACCGCTCCAGCTGGGACAAAATCTAAGCTTCCTAACGGTATCCCGACATGTGTGGTACTGTAGTGCATGTTAGTGCGCGTGTGCGTAAGGGGTGAGATAGGACAAGGAAGATGAAGGAAAGATAGCGCACGGTTGGTGACCCGTTTGTTAGAGTACTGCTCCGGCATTCGTCGGGTGTTGATCGCAGAAACCACGGAAAACTGCCAATCAGAGGCGCCGGTCGCTAGAATTGTCCTCCAGACGACTGAATTCGACATAGCTAGCAAGCTAGTGTCGAACATCTGGCCACGGTCGGGTCTCGAACCAAGGACCTCCCGGTCAGAGGCACAGCAGTGCTTCTTCATTGGGCTGACCCGTGCAAATAACTCCGCGAAAGGAACACGTCGCTCCGGCGTGTCCCGTGCTCAACCCGCTCGCCGTGGCCGCACGTGCGCGCGTGCGTGCGTGCGTGGGCGGGGCGCGGCGCCGCGTGACAGGTGCGCTGAGTCACGGCTGAGCTTCGCACCGCGTGCCTCGCGACCGCGCCGCCACCGGACCGCGCCATCGCTGACGCAACGCCTCCTGGCGCAAGAAAGCAGTCCCCCTCTCGCACATTGATGTCACGGCGCGCATGCAGCGCTGCTGCAGAGCGATTTTTCTAAACGTGCCTCTGGCAGGTAGCAGCTGTTGACGGTTTCATTCAATCTGAAGATTGGACGTCACCATAGTGACATTTAAATGTTCTTGGCTGTCCGGGTGACGCCGCATCGAAGGCTGTGTTGCCGACGTTTCGACCCTCTAATCGTGGTCTTCTTCAGGGCTGGTCTGGGGTGGATTAATAAAGTCCCTCCTCGTAGAGGCGAGTTGAATGAAGTCGTAGGCTCCCGCGGCTGGAGTCATGTAAATGATCATGGCTGTCCGGGTGACGTCGCGTCGAAGGCTGTATTACCAACGTTTCGATCCTCTAATCGTGGTCAGACCAGCCCTGAAGAAGACCACGATAAGATGGTCGAAACGCCCATAACACAGCCTTCGACACGGCGTCACTCGGACAGCCAAAATCATTCACAATGACTCCCACCGCCGAAGCATACGGCTTCATAGTGAATTTAAGCTCCCGGTTCGATGAAACCGTCAACAGCTGATTCCTGCCAGGGGCACGGTTAGAAAATTCGCACTATAACGACGATTGCTGACAGCATTCCGCTCAGGGGCGCATCCAATTATTTAGGGGCGGTCATAGATGTTTGCTAAATAATGAACATATTTGTTATTATATTAATTTTTTCGTATTGTATATATGATACTATACAATATCATTTGTGCAATACTTAGAAATTCTAACATAAGTAACTAAATTAATTTTGACAAGTAAAAGAAGGTAACATAATGTGGCTAGATTTTTTTATTCGCCCGTATTTATCGATGAAAGCTTGTTCAGAACGAAACTGAATTAAGATATGTTTATCTAAGTTCTCGTACAAACTTTGTACGACAAACTTACGAATTCCTCTCTGATGGATGTGGAGCACTTTATTTATTCAAGTTATCGGGATGTAATAGAGCCACAACTACACAAATAATTTTGAGTTAATGCACTCCCCAGAATTGTACACTGGACTACCTTCCAGCAGCATATCTTACAGTACAATATCCCACCAACACAGGAGAGAAGTGTGAAAGCAAAAATGATGACTTTTCATACAAGGTGAAAGTTCAAACTCATTTATCCCCACACCTGATGTTTTGAGATGTGCTAGTATTGTTGCCCGCAAACGATATCCAGTCCTATTTTAAGACGCATTGCCAGTCGGCATAACAGTGAGATGTAACATGTCGTAATATGACGCATTAACGTTTGTTTTCGAAAGGGAATTGTCAGCCCCTGGAAGTCACCTTGACTGAGCGGTACATGTTCTGTTTTTAAAGAGCTTCCAACCCAGTTTTCGACTATGTCACTGGTTCAGTTCATACAACTTACACTTACGAGGCCCGCTCCGACTACAAATTGTTTTGTTAATCTCATTCGCAATCTCTGAAATGTACCACAACGCTCGCATTTGTATGTCGCTCCTTAATGCTTCAAGGCATTCGTTCCATATAGAATCTTCTCTACGGATCACATCTGCAAATTTCAATTCTTGTCTGAGAAGAGGCAAGATACTGTTATAGAGATCGTAAATATCTCCAAGTTAATGCCTTTATCGTATAATGAGGTACCATGTTCTCCGAGCAGAACTGGCGATAAAAGTTCCTAATGACTGAACCGTAGTTCCATCTCCTTGCGTCCAGAAAGGGAGAGAAAAAGAAATAGGAAAGAAAATATAAAAGTGTTCGCTGTTTTGGTTGGAATGGCTTTTATTTGATCGCTCAAGTGATTTTCAAATTACGTGAATGGAACCATCAATTATGTAATTACGAGTATTCTTCCTACACTCTTCACACCGAGACCAGCGGTAATTTCATTCATTGCAATTTCATATTTAAGCTATGTAAATCCGTAATGCTTAATAGGTGCCATATTTAGTCTTATTCTAGTACTTCATTTACACTCGTGAAGTCAGGGAATCTACTTATGAAATGTTGGTAAAATGCGAGACAACAATCCGAATTCTGAAGTAGAAATTAACATTTTGCGAAAAGGATGGAGGTATCCCAGAAATTCAAATTGGAAATCCACAGAGAAATGTATAACAAGATATTCCAAAACTTACCCTTTCTACTCCTTCACTTGCAAAGAACATATGGAGAGAGAAGCACTCACGCAGAAAATGTGAGTTTGAATCTCGACAAAGGAGCAAGGCGACTCTTCGACTCTTCGTTCATTCTCATGTGCAAGACAACTCTTTTCAATGACATTTCGCAAACCACCTCCAGTAGTCAGCACTCCACTAGTATTCTATCCTTCCGTCAAGCGTCCACAATTTGGCAACGAACTAGCGAAACAAACGGTCGAACACTGCAATGCTGGAAGGTCTCCAACTGCAGCAGCCCATAATTTCCCTGGCGGCAGGCCTTTTGACGCGCACTCCAGCAGGCGCCATGGGAGGTTCCTGCTCTCAGGCGGCCGGAGAGGACAGTAGAAATCAGGCGATCTCGAGATGGGAGGCAAAAGCACGACACGAAGGAGGGTAGGGGAAGAAAGAGATGTGGAGTTACGTGGCGATAGAGTGCTAATAGAATACCAGAGATGCGGAGAGGGGTAGGCGGGGTGTTGGGGAGTAGGGAGCGACGAGATGGCCAGGCGATAGAGCGAGACGACGGGGCAACGTGAGACGAGATGACGGGGAGAGGAAGCGAGGAAGACAAGGTGACCTGCATGAAGAGACGATCGGCTGATGTAGCTATACTTCGATTTATTTGTAGTGGCGCTTGACGTAAATTAGCTGTTGACGGTGTCATCCAATCAGGAGCTTGAACGTCGCCACAGTGACCTCACTGTGGTGACGTTCAAGCTCACGATTGGATGACATCGTCAACAGTTCATTTACGTCAAGAGCCATTAGAAATGAATCGAAGTATAAGTAACAAAGCTACGAAAATCATAGATAAGGTGATAGCGAACGGTAATTCACACTTAAAGAAAGCAGGGGTAAATCGAAAAACAAATTTTGGGAGGGAAAATTAACAATGTTTGAGTCGAATATGTCATTACAAATTTTGTAAAATGTCGCAGACTACACTCAACTCATGCTCAACTTTAATTCGTTTTGATGATTATCAGAAAATATTTTTGCTTCAACGTTTCGTGACAAGTTAAAATTAATAGTAACAGAAAAAGTTGAGACGGAAAATTTCCCTCATTTCCTTCCCCGAGGATCCAACCCTGAAAAAAGAAATACTAAAAGGCGGAGGGCAGCAAAGGTGCAGGGAAGATCATTAAGGAGAAGAGAGAGTAAATTTTAGCACTACTGCTCTAAATAAGCGCTTTAGCTACGAGTTTTCTAAAAAAATAATACTTAAAACCGTTTAAAGAAGGGCTACAATCACTAATGATTTTTTGGATGGCCTAAATCAAATATGAAATGTACGCACAACATGCTACTTAAGAAATGAAAGAATCAGGATTGATGAGAATTTTTCAGGCTTACACTTGAATCACCACTGACATAGAATTTAATCTAAATATTTATATTAGTAACAAAA